AGTATCTCAGCATAGTTCGTCTTTTCAACAGGCAGAATTATTAATGCGTCCACTCTGGTGAATTTTAGCGGTTTTTTCTGCTTAGGCTCAGGTGGTGGCTTCTCAGGCAACTGCTTCAGGAGTTGCTCTTTCCTTTCTTTCTTCTGTTCGCTCCTAGACTGTACTTTTTTCCAAGCTAGCGCCTTTGGTTGTTCGCTGGTCCTTGTGGAGGGCTTTTCTTCATATCCTTTTTCTTTACGACTCGGCTGGTTGTTAGGTCAGGAGAAGGTCGATCTTTTCTCTTACCTGACTTGCTGCTGGCTTCACTTTTGTCTTCCGCGACTGATTCACCGTCACCTTGAGCTCAAGTGTCCATTGCTTCGTCAGTCACGACGGCAGCCTGACAAGCTTTCTCCGGTGTTGCATGGGATATGCGCTGCAATGATGAGCGCCACTCCTTGTCTAGCTTCTCAAACCTTTGAAGGGCGTTAGTTACACCAGTCATCTTGGATTTTGTCTCTTTGTGAATTTTGACCTTTGGTTGGACGAAATCATTCAGCTTACTGATCAGCTTTTCAAGGCGTTTGAGCGCTTGCGACCGCTTCATTTTAGCGCTTGCGTCAATCGCTGCTTGTTGGGCATGTAGCCCGTTTCTACTCTTGTTTGTTTACTGTGGGTTACTCATACTTTTTTGATTTACCAGCGCATCGTACGGAGTGGAGCAGGTTGTCATAACTAGGAACGGGTGTACCCTCGGAGATAGTACTCCTACCCCAGTTCCCTGAGGCCAAACCGACACTTAGCCAGTCCCGGAATACACGGACAGACTAGACTCGCTCGGAGCGGTGAAGATTCCGATCTCTAACACTCACTGCGTACTTCCTGATCAAGGCCCGAAGTGGCTGGCTCCTGATCCACTGCTGCATCTTACACCTTGGCAGAGCAAGCTCACATCAGCCGTGGCCTGCATCGTCGGAAACTACGATACAGGTTCCGGTCACTCCCAGTGGGTCACAGCAGAGAACGATCGTCTTGTTAGGTCAGTTAGTGTGACCAATCCATTAAAGGGGAGTTTTGTTCACGGGAGCGTATTTTATTTAACTCCTACCCTCTGTACCTCATCAACTAAGAGACCTAGTGTCATCCAAGAACTAAAAGTGTCAACCCATCCGTTACGGGGAGACGCAGCTGGTAGTAGTTTCTCCTCTGCCGCAGGTGTGTGTGTGTGTGTGTGTGTGTGTGTGTGTGTGTGTGTGTGTGTGTGTGTGTGTGCGTGTGTGTGTGTTGATTTTTTTTTCTAATTTTTTTTTTTGAAAGAGGTACGAAAAAAGTCTTCAAAGACACAACTATCGTTAACTCTGCCGCCTATCTTACGGCAGATATCGATAGTCGGTAGTGTGGAGATTTTTACCCACTAAAAAAAATATTCCTCTTCCCCTCTCCCCTAGATGGTACGGGGAGGACTGGATTGGAACCGCGTTAGCATTACTTCTGCGTGTGTGTGTGTGTGTGTGTGTGTGTGTGTGTGTGTGTGTGTGTGTGTGTGTGTGTGCGCGTGTGTGTGTGTGTTTTTTTTAATTTTTTTTTTATTTTTTTTTTTTTGTAAAGAGGTACGAAAAAAGATCTTCAAAAGACACAACTATCGTTAACTCTGCCGCCTATCTTACGGCAGATATCGATAGTCGGTAGTGTGGAGATTTTTACCCACTAAAAAAAATATTCCTCTTCCCCTCTCCCCTAGATGGTACGGGGAGGACTGGATTGGAACCGCGTTAGCATTACTTCAGTCCAGTCGTGCTGCGTCTCACGACTCCTACTCCTGGCTACTGGTCCCTTTCTGCGATTTTGTCTTTCAGGAGGTGCCGTGCATAAGCTGCAACAGCTGACCAGTTTTTCTCTTGTTTGATCATATAGGTCACCAGGCTTGAGGGGGAGAGCCTGGTGCCTATGATCTCTTCGGTGCTTCTTCTGTAGTCCTTCCATCGAGCACACTCGAAGAATGTGTGTTCGGCGTTGTCGATTTTATCCGGGCAGTATTTGCATGTTTGTGTGTTGTGTAAACCCATCTTGAAGAGATAGACGTTGTACTGCCCATGCCCTGTCAGTAATTGGGTCAGGAAGAAATCCGTGTCTCCGTTTTTCCGAGAGAGCCAGGCGTTGATGTTTGGGATCAGTCACGCTGTCCATCTGCCTGTCTCTTCCGACGTCCATCGGTCCTGCCACTCTTGCTGCGTTTCCGTTTTTATCCTCGTTTTTGCCTCCTTCATGTTTTCGCCGCCGATTTTAGCGTCATAGAGTCTTGCTCTCTTGAACGATAACAATACAGCTGCTTCGGAAACCGTGCGGTAGGTGCAGGCAACTCTGAGAGCGCCTCGCCGCTGCACTGCTGCCATTTTCCGTCGATAGGTTTTCTGCTTTAATATATCTGCCCATATTACTGCTCTATAAAGCAGTACCGAATGGACTGCTTCCAGAAGGACTCTCCTCTTTTTGGTTCTTGGTCCCATAGTGTTCGTCATAATTTTTGCTTGGCTAGACACCGTCTTGCTGGCTTTGTGGCATGCATTATCGAGGTATTCGCGGAAAGATAGTTTCTCGTCTATCATTACCCCCAGATAGCGCAGGGCCCTTGTTGACGTTAGTGTTGTTCCTCCCATGTCCATAGCGAATGGTTTTGGGAACCATTTTTGGCGAGTCAGAACGACCATCTCGGTTTTGTGCTTGGCGAATTTTAGATGGTGTTTATCGAGCCAAGTCTCGACAGCATCAATGGTTTCCCGAACTAGTAGTTTGGCCTCCTCTACGCTGTCGACTATTATCGTGGCCGTGACGTCGTCTGCAAAGCCCGTTAGCTCCACTTGCTTTGGCAACGGGATTTCAAGAAGCTCGTCGTAGTCGGCGTTCCATAGATTGGGCCCCATTATTGAGCCTTGCGGCACGCCAGCCGTTATGGCGTATTTTTGTGGGCCTTCCGTGGTTTTTGCTATTAGCTTTCTTTCGTCAAGGTAGTTGTCGACTAGTGCCAGATTCTCCGGTTCCTCGTCAAATCTGTGCTCCAGGGCGTCCAAAATATCTCTCCAATTTGCGCTGTTAAAGGCATTTCTAATGTCTAACGTGAGGACATGACACACCTTGTGGGCTTTGAGGCTACCAGTCCATGCTTCTTTCGCTGTCCCTACGACTTTCTGTATCGAGCCTACTGTTGAACGTCCTTTCCGGAAGCCATGTTGGTTCACGGCAATACCTCCAGCACGATCTATGTCATTGCGAAGTCTCCCTTGTATGAGCTTCTCGAGCAATTTTTCAGCAATGTCCAGCATACAGAGTGGTCTAAACGACGAAGGTGTTATGGGGGTTCCCTAACCTTTGTCTAAGAGAACCAATCTCTGCCGTTTCCAGACCGCGGGAAACGTGCCAGTTGCCAAGCATGCGTTGTAGGTGTTCAAGAGTATGTCTGGGTATTCCAGGGCTACAATCTTGATCACCAATGACGGGACGCCATCAGGTCCAGGTGCCTTTCATGTTTTGAGTGACTTGGCCGCGTCTTGTAATTCCTTAGTTGTGAAGGGTGTTACTTCGCTGTTCTTAGTGTAGTGTTTCTTTTCCCGCGGCAGGTGTTTAGGAAAAAGCTCCGCTATAATGCTGTTCATCAAGGCAGGAGACTTCGGCGTCTCTGGCCGTGTGTGTGTGTGTGTGTGTGTGTGTGTGTGTGTGTGTGTGTGTGTGTGTGTGTGTGTGTGTGTGTGTGTGTGACCTTGTGACTATGTGACTATGTGACTATGTGACTATGTGACTATGTGACTATGTGACTATGTGACTATGTGACTATGTGACTCGCTTATAAATAATGCTGTTCATCAAGGCAGGAGCGTCGTCGTCTCGTCGTCGTGTGTGTGTGTGTGTGTGTGTGTGTGTGTGTGTGTGTGTGTGTGTGTGTGTGTGTGTGTGTGTGTGTGTGACCTTGTGACTATGTGACTATGTGACTATGTGACTATGTGACTATGTGACTATGTGACTATGTGACTATGTGACTATGTGACTCGCTTATAACTTTTGAACGACTGAACCGATCGGAACCAACCAAACGGCGTTCTAAAGAGTTCCCTCAAACTTAGATTTCCTGAAACTTAGAACCGATTCGGACCGATAGATTTTGTGAAATTTTGAAAAATTTTAAATAAAATAAGAAAAAAAATTTTTTTTTAAGTGGTTTTTTTGAAATAACTTTTAAACGGCTCGAGCGATCAACTTCAAAAACTAATCCCCCCTTAACCTTGAAAAACCACGTCGATCACCGCTAATCCGGTCAAAATCGGTTGATTTGTTCGAGAGATAGCGTGAACGAAAGGAAACCAAAAAAAATCGAAAAAAGTGTTTTTTTCACATAACTTCGACATTTCTTATCGGATCGTTTTTGATGAAATAGAATAATTTTTAGAGCTTAAAATTTTGCGTCGATCGCTAGCTAGAACGTAAAAATCGATTGATTGGTTCGCGAGATATCCTCGACGAAATATTTGGAAACAAGTGTTTTGTCAACATAACTCCGACATTTTTTGGGATAACTTTTAAACGGCTTTACCGATCAATTCCAAAAACTAATCAGCTCTTAACATAAAAAAAACCATGTCGATCGCTGCCAATCGCGTGAAAATGAGTTCATACATTCAAAAGTTATTGCGGCTTAAAAATTTGAAAAATTGTGTTTTATCAAACTTCTATCAGACCTTTGAGCTCGAAGAGCTCAAAAGCATAAAAAGTTATCACTTTAAGCTCAGAGGGCTCAAAATAACACATAAACAGTATTTTTGAGCTCGGAGAGCTCAAAAACATCATTAGTGCAATTTTAAGCACCTAGGTATGAAATGAGCTGGAAGTTGCACGGCTAGCCTTCAGGGTCTACCGTTTTTCTAATTTTTTTCTCCCAAATAGATGTCCTTTTTTACTTCTTTACTCCTAAATTTCTGGCGCGTTTTTCTCAAGTTAATTTTTTCTTTCCTGCATTCCTCGTCCCACCAACTTTATTTCCCTGATTTCTTCTCCCTAATTTTCTCCGTCACCTTAATTGCCCTTCTCGCCTTCTCTTTCAGCTCCTGCCAGTCCTCTTCCACGCTTCTTTTTACTCCATACCACTCCTTGAACTCCTCCCCAAATTTTCTTATGCCTTCTTTCGACCATATTCCTCTCGTTGTTCCTTTAACAGCTCTTTTTCTTCCTCTTCCACTTATATCCCACTTCACTCCAATTCCTGCCACCACTGGCATAGGGTCTGATTCTATTCTTTTCTCTACTTTAACCTCCGTTATCTTTTTCTGAAAATTATTGTTGGAAAGTACTCAATCAATGACCGAGCACCCCCTTTCCCCTACAAACGTCCATTCTCCTTCTTCGTCTCCCTTAATACACCCATTCGCTATTGCCCAACCTCTTTCACTCAGGAATTTGCACAGTTCATTTCCCTCTTTGTTTACCACCTTAACTTTCGAGTTCCTGATTTCTTCACCATCTTCTGAGATCAGCCCACCCTATCTTCCTGTCCGTGCATTAAAGTCCCCGCCTATAATCACTTTTTCATTGACCTCTTCCATCCATCTACCCATCAACCCCTTTTTCTCCCAACATCACCGTTTATATAAACTCCCACCACCCACCACCACTCATTTCCCAATTTCACCTCGTTTTCTGTCCATCCCTCGTCACTCACAATGTTTCTTCTACCTGTTTTAATTTCCTCTTTCACACCCACCAACATTCCTACTTTCGCTCTTCCTCTTCCTTTTTGCACCCTTGCCTCCTGTAATTCCCATATGAAACCCCTTTTCCAGCTCTGTTTTATCCTTTCCCAGCCTTTCTTATCCACCCAGATCTCTATTAGTACCACAACATCCCACTCTTCCAACCTCTTCCAGAAGTCTTCATCCTTGTTTTTTATTCCCACTACATTCCAGAAGCCTACTTTATACACTCTCCTGTCCTCTGCCTTAACTTTTCTCCCCCCCTTCTTTTTCATCCCATTCTTCCTCCCCTTTTCCCGCCACCCTTCCTTTACCCGTTTCCCTCTTCCATTTTCCAACCTTCCCCCGACTCATTCCATAGCCTTAGTTCGTCGTTAACCCACATCTTCATGTATCCTACTTTTACCCTTTTTCCATTCTCTCTCTCTTTCCTTGCTTCCTCCATTATCAACCTTTGTATTCTTCTTTCTTCTCTCGTGAGATCGTCTTCAATTCTTACTTTTTCTCCTTTCAATTTACTTTTTGCCATCATAACCTCTCTTTTTTTCTCTAACCCTTCCATTTCTATCAGCACTAAACTTTTTCCTTCCTTATCAATCCCTCCAATCTTCCTCATGTTTCTTTTGCCTCCTTCAACTCCTATCTTCTCCCAAATTCTCTCGACCTCTTGGCTCCATTCCTTATTTCTCTGCATCTCTACACCTTTGACAATAATATTTTTCCTTCTCACCTTTCTTTCCTGTCTTTCCACGCTTATCTCTAGGCTTCTAACCCTTTCTTCCGTCTCTTTGCTTACCATCAGTTCTCCCTCCTTGAAAACCGCTTGTCCCTCCTGGTTTCTCCTTTCCGCTAGCCCCTCTAACTTTTCCATCCTTTTTTCCAGCTCATTCATTCTCGCCTCGTTCGCTTTCTGACCCTCCAATCATATCTTTTTTAGATCTTCTCTCTCCCTTACACCTTCTTCTCTCAGTTCATCAACTCTCTTGCTCACTTTTCCACATTCCTCTTTAATTCTAGCTTTTCCAATTTTTTTAGAATCTCCTCCATTTCAGGTCTTTTTTCCGGCGATTTTCCCACTAACCTACTCGTCTTAAAAACCTCGCTTTCCTCACAGTCCGCTCTCAGTCTCAACACACTTTCTTCTTCTCTATCTTTCCTCTTTCTACTTATCACCGCGTCTGTTAAGTCCCCTACATTCCCTGTCCTCCTGGTTAGGAACCTATTTTTAAATTTTCCCGCTTGTTTGCTTGTCCCACTAAACATACTCCCTTATCTACATCCCAATCCTACCTTGCCTACTGCCGCAACTTACTCACGCTGCACTTCACCAATCTCCCGTAACTCGCCTAGCGCTTCCTTCGCACTCCTCCGGAGCCCCTCTCTGTCCCCTCACGCCGCTTACCTACAACCCCGAAAACCTAACCTTTCAACTTTCCTGTCTTTTCTCTAAAAAATAACCACCTTTATCCAACTCTCCCCTCCTAACTGTATTATTACCGCACTACCTCTCTACACTACCCTTACTTCTACCACACCTAATTTTAAGCTACGTATTCTCAACCCGCTTAAAACTCCTAATAAAACTGCACACTAGTTTGTACACTCCTTATCTAGCGTCACCGGAAACGGAAGTCCCAATAATTTCAATAATAAAATTATAAATATATTTAGAATTGTAATTAATTGGGCAGATATTTTCGACAAAATTAATGGACTCAACTAATTATTTCCAGTTTTTTTTTCTTTAATCAGAAAAGTTTAATGATGCCTTTTAAAAAATGCTCATATTATTATTTTTCCTTATAGTTACAGTCTTTAATATTTACACTGCCGACAGAAAGTTTCCGGACAAGATGAAAATTTATTAAAACAATTATTGAAAGTAAAATAAATCAAGAAGAAATTCAAAGACACGATCGTACGCACTTTGTAAAATAGCATAGCATTTTCATTATAGATTAAGTTAATGTGTTTATGTATCATATTTCAATTAAAAAGTAAACAAAAAGATTGTCCGGAAATTTTCTGTCGGTACTGTGTATATTTAAACAAAATCTACTATTGCATTGAGTATGTTAATTTTTTTTTTAGCTGTGTGAATATGCTCAAACTTGGGCTAATCATTTAGCTCATACGAATACATTTTATTATCGAAATGATCGAGAAGTTGGACAAAATCTTTACTGTCGACCTGGTGGTCCAGTGTCTGGAGATGTAGGAGGCCAAGATGTATCTTCATATTGGTACTCAGCGGTCAAACACTACAATTTCTTCAAAGAACCAGATATTTTGCATACTAACGTCAATACAGGTAACATTGGTTCTAAGCATTATTAAACATAATGAGATATAGTTGTAAATATGATCCCTAAATTTTTCCGCTAAGTACACGCTCAGAAAACTCAAACAATTTCTCATTATAAAGTTTCGAATTTTTCGAACTCAACTGGCATAACTTTCTCACGATTTGATCTCGTTCGTACGAATCACGCGCATTTCACCGTATTCTTGGTACCGAAATCTGTCAAAAATATTAACTACTTTGTTTTTCTAACTTTTAAAGATTTGGACATTGAAGCCACCAGTACGTTTTCCACTTAAAGTCGTAAAATCCAAACTTATAAGGTAATAAATGTAACTGCGTTTAGATTTTAGTCATCTAGCATTCGAAAATATGGAAAACGCAACGACACTTGTTTTCGACAAAGTACGAACTCGTTCCCTAGCCCATTATCTATTTATAATTTAATTTTACCTTTAAATCCCATACAATCACCACCGTATGGTGTCCGTGTGGCTGTGTGTGTGTGTGTGTGTGTGTGTGTGTGTGTGTGTGTTGTTTTGGAAAACTACCACTGGTGTGGCCAGAACGTGCTCTTTTCTTACCCCCACTTTGTAGGCCACTCTCATCTGACTACATTGAAAAGCGGTACAAAGTGGGGGTAAAAAAATCGCACGATCTGGCCACACTGAATGTATATACAATGAGTGTAATGTCAACGAAATTTCTAACCTATTATAAAAGTGATTAGAATTTTTTTTCTGCAGTGTTTTGATATGATATTAATTTCATTTTGTTTAAATCGCATACTTCTATTAAATAAAGTTTTGTAAAACTATGGCAAATACAGGTGTTTTGCCTTTTGTCCGTGGTGTAGATTTTTCTGACAATGATTTCGTAAGTAAAATTTCTATCATCACATATAATTTAAAATCCAATATATATTTGAAAATTTGATCCAATTAAATAATATATTCAATCGTTAAAAATATTACCTTCTCAATTTATAATGAATAACTCTCTACCAACTATTAATTTATGTATTCTCAAGTTAACATAATTCTACATAATTAAGTAAAATTAAATCGTCTATCGTAAAAAAACGAGTTTGCTGTTGTTTGATTGACCTCTGTAATTGTTTAGAAAGTGATTGTGCATTATCTAATTTTAACACAAAATTCAGAAGTGTCATTTAGGAAAAAATTTTTTCATGAAATTCGATAAAATTTCATGTAATTTTATGTAGAAAATGGCCTAGTGAACTTTCATATAATTTTTATATAATTTCGGTTTCCAATAGAGAAAAAAAAATTTTCAATAGTATTAAAAATTTTTCAATCAGTAAAATTTACGTTTCATTTTGAGATGCGATTCCCGATTCCAAATCTGAGTTAAGTGTTGTTAACTATTGAAAAAATCTTGGATTTGTTGGGACCGAATCGAAGTCTATTCTAATTTCATAGATTTATAAACTTCTGTGTCTTATAGTTAAAAAAAACGCACTGCGAACATGTTCCTTTCACTGCCAACATCTAATTCACCATGTTTTAGATGTTCATCGATAAACATAGGCGGGGAGATCAATGTTATAATAATATTGTTATAACGACTACTTGAATTACGTAATTCTACGCTGGTCATTCCATGCCAAATCAACAAATTTTTCAACCGACACCCTTCGATTTCGCTCAAAGTTTCCTATTTTTTCTACTCCCCCCCCCCCCTAACAGACATTTTTAGGAATTATTTCAGATTTTTTCACCCAACCCAAATATAGTTAGGGCATTCCATACACTGATAGAAAATTTATGTTGACTCAAGAGATATTTTCTTGATCTAAGAATTTATTTTGGAAGTCAAATTATTATTTTGCTTTAAGAATTCCTTTCTTGCCCCTGATAGCCATACTTATCGAAAGTTTACATCAAATTGTACTTCAACTTGTCGACAATCTGTTGCCGAAACTGGTCATCAAATTTCCAGCATTCACTGTAGCACAAGTCTTGGTGTAAACTTGCCGTAAAGTTGCAGATAATAATTGTAGATGTGGCAGATTGTAAAAATTTTAACGTTTGTACTCTCAATAGGTAACTTGTCTGTATCCCGGGTAAAAAAGATTATATATAATTATCTATAATTATATTAAAAATGGCCCTATCTAGTTATATATAATTAGATATAATTATATAAAATTATTTATTTATAATTATTTCCATAGAAATAAAAAAAAAATCCAGCGAGCGCGGGAACCGAACCTCGGACCTGATGCTTGAAAGACCGATTCATTACCTATTTACCTACTAGACTTACTTGAAGAGTAGAGTTTGTAATAACTACAAGTAATAAAAATTGTATACATGATCGATTCGTAATGAACAAAATTTTTTATTAAATTTATAAATTATTAATATATGTAGATTTATAAAATTATCTATGCATACATAAAATCGCAAAATTAATCCTAAGAAATTTTTAAGGTGTTCCGTTGCTTTAAAATTTATAATTACTTCAAAATTAAGGAAATAATAGCGGTAGAATCAGAATTAAATTTTGATTAAATTATTTGTTTAGTATATGGAACTAGGTATTGCTGGAGGGCCTGGGTAATAATTTTTAAACTTGACGAAACTATGAATTTTTGTGAAATTTAATTTTTTTATAAGTTAATACAGATCCTATTCTTACATCCGCAAAATACTATGGATTAAAAGATTATTAATCATTGGAGTAACAGACTCTTAGATAAAAAGAAAGAATGTTTTATAGTAGTTAAAAAATACCCACTGGAGTAAAAAAAATTTATATATGACTAAGGTAAAAAACCCAGTTATTGGCACTGGCCTAGTTATTGACACTTGCAATTTTATTTTGATTGAAAAAAACAAATTAACTCTGATAAATTAATAAATATAATTTTTGAATTATAAATTTTAAGATAATTGGTGTTTTGAGAACATTTTACTTTTTTTATTAGAATGAAATTGAAAGTGTCAAACAACTAGGCCAGTGTCAATAACTGGGTCTTTTACCTTATTTATGATTTCCGTATAGCAACTTATTGTAGAGCAAACTTTTCGGATTTCTTTCCCTCTAAAAATGGCACCAGCTTTCTGCTACTTATAATCACGGATATTCCAAATCTTAAAGAGAAAGTGTGTTTATCAGGGCAAGAGACAAAAATTCTTGAAAGAAATATATCTATATCTAGTTTCAAGAGTTCAAGTTTTGAAGAAAAAAAGTTTCTTGAATCAAGATTGTTTTTCTATCAGTGTACAAAATGGAAAAATGACTAATATTTAAAAATTTCTCGAAATCATTCTAATTTATTCCTAATTTATTATTAAAAGTCTATATTTTACTAATTTGTAGAGAAAATTTTTTTTAATCAATAAGAAAATCGATGTTTCTCTCCTAGTAATTTTTCAGCCGTACTAACTTGTATCCGGGTCAACTGTTGTTTTAATAGTTTTAAGAACAAAATCATTTTATGTTTGTTATTAACTAACATATTTATCATTATAGTTTTAAGAACAAATTTTTTTATTTTCGTTACTAATTAACACCTAAGTTTATCAAGATCGTGTTGTCAGCATGCTAAATCCTTTATTTGTGTTTTTTAATTAGTTTTTTTTTAATTATCCTAAATAATTTATAGTTGAACATATAAGCAATAATGTTTCTAAGGTTGAAATAATATGAAAGTCTTTTTAATAAACAACTTCATGTAGACATTTTGTACTTGTCCCACCAGTCACAAATACCTGTCCCACCAGTCACAACAAAAAAAATCTGGAAAACGGTTGACCCTAAAGGCCATCCCTGCAACTTCCCGCCAATTCCATACCTAAGCGCTTGAAATTGCACTTATGACGTTTCTGAGCTCTTCGAGCTCAAAAATACAATTTGTGTGTTATTTTGAGCTCTCCGAGCTCAAAGAAATAGCTTTTGTATGCTTTTGAGCTCTTCGAGCTCAAAGGGCTAA